ATTGCTTGTATAAAAAACCCACACAAATGAAAACAAAATAAAAGCCACAAAACTCACAAAATAAGCAATTTATAATCTCACATTTTTGTAAGTCATTGGCCAATACAGATGTCACTAAGTTAACATCGGAATAGGCAGGGAGGCAGGGATGGTTCTTTACAAGGTCTGGGAAAGACTGTTTCCTTGACTTGCACATTTTCCAGAGCCCACTTTATTCCACTTTTAAAGCTAGTGACAGTACGTCTGGGCGATTACTCTTCTGTAGTCACGTCTCCCTCTGATCATAGCCAGAGAAAGCTCTTCGGTGGTTAGGACCATTGACCCTGAGCTTAGTTGATTTTTCAATCTCTTTTTGCATTTAAGGGACCATAGTCGAGATCCCAGGACTTAGAATGCAGACATCTGGGGCAGCATTTTCTCTGCCTACCCCCTTTAGCATAAATGGAAGGCTGGCATGCAGGACCTTCAGTATGAAAAGCTGAGAAGTCTCGGGTCAAACCATGACAAGGTCATCCCTTAATTGGACAGCGGGGTACAGAGAAGAGTGACACCCCTCTGATGGAGGTCACCTCAGGTGGTGCTGAGAGACCCCGAGTGCAATCTACACCTCCTGGCAAAAGTGACGAGGAGGCAGGTCTGCATTCCTGAGTGGGCCCGCCCATGATTTCGTGTGACCTGGGCTCAAACTTTCTCATTGCCTTGCGACTACAGGGTCTCTCAGCTGTAGACCTTTTTCCTCGTGGTGAGGATAACCATACTAATTTATTGCTAATCACTAACCATGGGTAATTCATTGTTGCTTATAAAATGCCACATTAACTACTGCTCTCATTGAGTTGTCAAGTTTGGATGGTAGCAAAAACAAATCATGACATTAATTGTCTGAATCCGGCTCTGTGTGTGTGATCAGCATGCGACCAGGGCCTTGCTGCGTCCTAAAGAGAAATGGGGAGACGCAGTCACAGGAAGGCAGGCTGCAGCAAAGCTCTTGCAGGGAAGCAATGTTCCATGAGGATTTTACTGTGTATAGTATATATTAAGAGCGTATTTGTCCTGTGTAAATACCTAGCTGTCTTTAGTTCTATCATCTATTAAGATGAGGTTCTCTCAAACCAAAGTCCCTTTCCTATAGAAGGCTAGAAATGGAAGCTTAACCTGTTAATGATGCAGCTGAAGTTTTGGGAGGCAATGTCAAATCAATGTTTATCCCTCTGTTTATACTGATCAGCTGGAATTTAAGTTGAGTGAGGATTTGGCTTTCATGAGGTGATAAGTAACAGACTACATTAGGGCCCAGCTGCTCCTTTCTCACAGAGACTGCATAGCCATTGGGCAAACCTAGATACCGAGAATTCAAATTCAAATTCCCTATTACATGTGTACCTTAGAGACATTTTTATTTTTCCAATCTTATTTTCTTATCTTTAAAACTGCATATTAATACCTAATATTTGTTATGGTGATCACATAATAACATATTAAGCTCTAACTATCTGGCACTCCCAGAGGCACAGCACAGATGGATAACAGATATCACTACCATTAGTTAAGCATGGTAGCTATTTCCAATAAAGGATTTGTCAAAGTGCTTTAGCAATGTTCTAACTATTTTCACTCTTTCGAACCCTGTCTATTCAACAAGTCCTCTGCATTGCGTCAGGTTAAAACCAAGAATGTTGGCAATGAGAATGAAACCCCCCCTCGTCCAGGAGTTCATAGGCTTCCTGCAGAGATGCACTCTCTTGAGCCGGAAGCCAAGCTGGTGACATTTGGGGGGACAGAGTACATGAGCACTTGAGAAGTGGTGTGCGTTGGACTAAGGCGCAGAGACGAAATCAGTGTGATGTGAGCTGGGAGTCACTTCCCATTTGGCCTGGCTGTAGCGCTGTCGACTATGGAGTGAATGGAACAGAGGGTGGAGACACCGGTGGGAGCTGGCAAGACCTTCTGTGCTGAGATGAAGAGTGTGGAACTTATCTGTGAATGGCGAAGAACCACTGAGATCATTAAGGAGTGACCTTACATCATCGAGTCATTTTATTTATTGATTGATTTTTATTGAGCTCTACATTTTTCTCTGCTCCCCTCCCTAACTCTCCCCTCCCTTTCAACCCTCTCCCAAGGTCCCCATGCTCCCAATTTACTCAGGAGATCTTGTCTTTTTCTATTTTCCACATAGATTAGATCTATATATGTCTCTCTTAGTGTAAAAGGAGCAGTAGGCTGTGTTTCTGCCCAGATCCCGGCTAGCTTACCCCCAAAATAATTACACGGATACTGTATTCATTTAAACACTGCCTGGCCCATTATATCTAGCCTCTTCTTGGCTAAATCTCACATCTTGCTTTAACCCATATCTAATAATCTGTGTATCACCACGGGGTCTTGGCTTACTGGGAAGATTCTAACCCACGTCCATCTTGGGTTGGAGCTTCATGGCGTCTGCCTGACTCTGCTTCTTTCTCCCAGGATTCTGTTCTGTCTACTCCACCTCTCTAAGCTGCTGTCCTATCAAAGGCCAAGGCAGTCTCTTTATTTGACCAATGAAAGTAACACATAGTCAGAAGACCCACCTATATCATCTTAGGGTCCTCATTGTTGTCTAGGTTCTCTGGGATTTGGATTTGTGGGCTGGTTTTCTTTAGTTTATGTTTAAAAACCACTTATGAGTGAGTAAATGTGATCATTGTCTTTCTGTATCTGGGTTAACTCACTCAAAATGATGTTTTCTATCTCCATCCATTTGCCTGAAAAATTCAAGATGTCATTTTTTTTGTTGTTGTGTAGTACTCCATTGTGTAAATGTACCACATTTTCATTATCCATTCTTCAGTCGAGGGGCATTTAGGTTGTTTCCAGGCTCTGGCTATGACAAACAATGCTGCTATGAACATAGTTGAGCACATGTCTTTGTGGCCAGGATTGAGCATCCTTTGGATATATAACCAAAAGTGGTATTACTGGGTCTTGAGGAAGGTTGTTTCCTAATTTTCTGAGAAATTGCCACACTGACATCCAAAGGGAATGTACCAGTTTGCACTCCCACCAGCAATGCAGAAGTGTTCCCTTTACCCACATCCTCTCCAGCATAAGTTGTCATCAGTGTCTTTGATCTTGGCCATTCTGACAGGTGTAAGATGGAATCTCAGAGTTGTTTTGATCTGCATTTCTCTGATAACTAAGGATGTTGAACATTTCCTTAAGTGTCTTTCAGCCATTTTAGATTCCTCTGTTGAGAGTTCTCTGTTTAGGTCTGTACTCCATTTTTTTATTGGATTATTTGTTCTTTTGATGACCAATTTCTGAGTTCTTTGTATATTTTGTAGATCAAACCTCTGGCATAACTGGATATCAACATATAGAAGAATAGAAATAGACCCATATCTTTCATCATGCACAAAACTCAAGTCTAAATGGATCAAAGTCCTCAACATAAATCCAGCCACACTGAACCTTATAGAAGAGAAAGTGGGAAGTACCCTTGAAAGCATTGGCACAGGAGACCACTTCCTAAATATAACCCCAGCAACACAGACACTGAGAGAAACAATTAACAAATGAGACATCTTGAAACTGAAAAGTTTCTGTAATGCAAAAGGACATGATCAACAAGACAAAATGACAGCCTACAGAATAGGAAAAGATCTTCACTAGCCCCACATCAGACAGAGGTCTGATCTCCAAAATATGCATCGAGTCATTTTAAATATCAGTCCACCCACTACATGAATAACAGATTGAAGAGAAGCCATGCTGAAATTGGGCAAGTGACTACCAGTCATCATAGTTATAAAAAAGGCAACTGGCTGAGTTATCTCCATGGGAATTAAATTGCAAAACTACTTACAGAGTAAATAAGCACCAAGTTAAAGGACTCCTGTCTTCTACTAAAGCAACTGGGAAGCAATTTTGTCTTGGAGGGTTAAGAAGAAATAATGAAAGGTGGGGCTATATGGAGAGAGAGCCCTGATAGGAGCTATAGCTTTTCCTAGTCTCAGAACTAAACTCAGAAGATTTAATCCATGAGCTGCTTCCTGGAGAAACTAAAGAATAAGAAAAACAAGGCAAGGAAATGAATGATGCATATGTACAACTGCTTTGTGCCTGGTGGGAGAAACCTGCTTTGGAATGTTCTAGGAGTGAGAAGGAGTCAGAACCATGGTACCAGCCTTCAGAAACCTGTCACGTAGACTACCTAATTTTCATCTTGGTCCTCAGTGAAGAGTGGGAAGTACATGTTCACAGAGCTAGAGTGGGGCTAAGAAAGTGTACGAATTTGTGATATTGTGTACAAGTCTAAGGTTAGAGTACTAGGGACATTATCACATTTTACATTTGATTGGTATGGGGAATGAATTCAGAACCGAGGTCACATATGTAGGCTGGTGTTAGTTCCTCTGGAGTCTGTGTTGATTTTCTTTACTGACACCAAATTCTGAACCAATTCCTAGACACTACTTGCTATGCCTTTTCAGATTTAGAGAAAACATCACCCGAATTATTAATTTCATATGATGATAAATATAGTAGAGAAATTAAAAATTATTCCTGTCTTTTAAATGAACTAGATATTACACCAAAGTAATAACATACTAGATATAAATAACTATGGTTGCTGCATTTTAAAGAAGCCGTATGAGTTACATTGAACCTCTGTGACAGCGTGGGTTCTAATGGCCAGCTACTTTACTGTTACCAAGTATTATTTGAAACCTACAAGCTAGCAAAAGAAATACAGTTGTAGCCTTCTGGAATGATTTAAAAATCTAAGTCTTTCATTGTCACTTTGTGTTTTCTTCAAAATTTTCCTTAACATCTGGGCTATAAAGTAGCTCTTCATGTGATGAAAACATCTGTCAGAGAAGCCTAGGGAAGTGCCTATCTTAGCATATGATTCCATTGTGATCAACTCAGGTTACTTCCAGTGGCAGCAGGAAATACTGGTAACCTTGGCAACACTGGTAGCCCTTCCCACCTTCTTTTAACTGAAACAGCTGTTGCTAGGATACAGTCTAACCAAAAAAAATAGGGAAAAGAGAGGGAGCAAGTATTGAGAGAAAAAGAATGAGAAGGGTTGAGAGAATGAACAAAGAGAAATAAGAAGTCTTGAAAGAATAAGGAAGGAATATGAAGTGGAAACAGTAAGTGGTAGGAGAAGGGCCGACTTACTGACACAAGACTGTTGTGTTGTAAAAGGTAGCATGGGGTGGGAATAGAAGTGGGATGTTGATTTCTAGCCTACTAAAAATTAATAATTCATGCTTCATTTGGATTTTGAGTTTCCTCAAGTAAGCTACTTGTCTTTAATGTGAGTATCTTCACATTACCTTGTAAAGGAAATGCTCATTCGTTTTTTCCCCTTATTTTTAATCAAGTCTCAACCCCCATCAGTGTTCTTTCTTCTGCTGCCTCATTTTTTTCACTATAGCCAGAAAATAGCAAATCTGCAGAGACTAGCACTATATTAAAATTCAACAACTATTCCTCTGTCAGAAGGGCATAAGAAGAGTTTCCCTGGTGTCTAGGAGAAGTCATGACCCTGTCATCCACACTTCTGCCCTCATATTCTTTTCTCTCCATCCATGCATATGCCTGGATATTGGGTAAAGATGACGAGTTTAAGCAGCCAGCATCCTATGAGTCCAGGGAAAGGGTTATGATTGCTTTGGACAATGATAGCTTTCGTTTGGCAGGAGCGTCATGCCATGCAAAACTAACACATCATGAGAATTGACAGTTCTGTGGAACATACTCTCTTATCAGGGCTGTGGGAAGGAATCAAGCACACCCCCTATTTCCAGAAAACAAATGTGCTACCCAAGACAGTTCTAAAGCAATGTGTAGTTCTGAGAATGTTAGACAACTTGCAACTAACATTGCAACTAAATTAAGAGATTTTGTGTGTTTGTTTGCCATGCTATCTCTAGCACCTAGAACACTGAGAACATGGTGGGTACTCGGGAAGTGTTAATGGATGAATGGGGGTGGGGAGAAAAATAAAACAACATACTCTACTTTTCTGGACAATAGTTACCTTACTATTTCCAGTTTTAGTGGTAACAGGTGCCTAGCTCATAGCCCTAAAGGGTCATTTCATTATCAGAACATTCTCTTCTCACTATAGTGATGGGTTCAAGGATAAGTTTGACTGAGTCAAAGTAAGATTAATGTTAGATAAGAAACTTCTCAATTTCTCACTTTCTTCCCATTGGGTGTGAATGAGTAATTTTTTGTTTTGTTTTTGTACCCATTTAAGGATGGATTAATTCTAATGAAGTGGAGCAGAGAAAGGAGAACTCTGACTTTCTTTTCTAATGACTATGCCCAAGACCCTTCAATGCCACAAAATTTGGGAAAAATAAATTTAAGGATAAGAGGTACTTTCATCACCTAACCCTCTGAACTGTACTGGAGCCACAGGTACACAGATATTTGCCCCTTTTCCAACATAGAAAATGAGACATGGTTTTTCTATCTGAAAATTATTTTTGTGTTTCTGCTTTACAAAGTTTCTAAAAAGCTAACTATCTAACTAACTAACTAACTAATCCTCATCTATGTTTGTAGTAAGGAGGCTGCTAGTTAGTTCCCAGCTGCTTAGCCCCAAAATAATCACATAGAAATTGTATTATTTAAATCACTGCTTAACCCATTGGCTCTAGCTTCTTATTTGCTGACTCTTACATCTTAATTTAATCCATCTCTATTAATCTGTATATCACCACAAGGTCGTGGCCTATCAGCAAAGTTTAAGCAAGTCTGTCTCCACTGGTGTCTCTGTGGCTTCTCCTGACTCTGCCCTTCTTTCTCCCAGCATACAAGCCTAGTTTTTCCCACCTAGTTCTGTTCTTCCCTGCCATAGGCCAAAGCAGTTCTTTATTCATTAACCAATTAAAAACGACACAGAGACAGAAGGACCTCCTACACTGTATGTTTGCTTCTTTTAGTAACTTCCATCTGTCTAGACATGACCTGAGTTCTAGAGGTTTGACTGATGGAGAGCCTTCCTTCTAGTTCATCATTACTTTGCACTCACACATCTACTCCTGAACTCTTTGTATATTTTACCCAATTTTTCTTCTTAAAAATCCCTTCCACTTGTTTGAGGAGATCATCCGTTGGGAAAAGTGCTTGAAGTACAAGCGTAAGAGCAAGAGTTCAGATGCCAAGCATCCATGTAATTGCCTGGTTCGTGGTGGTCTTCCTGTAATCCCAGACAACAGGGAGCAGAAAAAGCAGGAGGAAAATGGCTAGATAGAGTATCTGACTCACCGAGTTCTGGGTTCAAGTGAGAGGTTTTACCCCAATATACGAAGTGGAGAGCAGTCTAGACATTTGATGTCAACCTCAGGCTTTTCTATGTACTTGCTCACATCTATACACATGCTAATCCATCCATCTACCCATACATACATACATACATACATACATATATACATACATACATGAATTGACACCACATTTATATACACAAACACAAAAATAAGAAGAAAACAGTATCTCTTTTACAAATGAAAATCAAGAATATACACAAGAAGTTGTCTATACCCAAATTTACTGGAGTCATACAAATGTATATGAGTTTTAGGTAAGATTCAACCAGCATCTAGGAATTGAGACATGTAGTGCTTAAACAAGAAAATGAGCCCTCCACCCCCACAAATTTACATATTTGAATACTTAATCCCAAGTTGGATGTGCTGTTTGGGGGAGATCATAGGACTTTTAGGAGGCATAGCCTTGCTGGATGGAGTGTGTCACTGGGGCAAGTTTTGAGAGTTCATAAGCTTGTCTCACTTCCAGTTGGCTCTCTGTTTCCTGGATGTGGATGGAAATATGATTTCTCAGCTTTCTGCTCTGGTCACCTACTGTTATGTTTTCCCTGCTGTGGTATACTGAATGTAACTGGCCATCATAATCTCAGATTCATAATCTAGAGATCCAGTTTCAGGACAGTTAAGTTTGAGCAATGAAAAGCAGAAAGCTCATGAAGATCTAATTGGATGAGGGGGCTATGGTCCAAGCCCAGCAAGCAGCAGAACGTGGCAGCTTCAGCTGTGTGGTTATGGCTTTAGAACTAAGGATAGAAGAAAGAAGTTATGGGATTCGCCTCCATGCCTAAAGAAAGCAACTGAGATGAGGCATATTGCAGGGGTGTCCCTGAGGGAGGCCTAGAGAAGTCATTTTGTGAAACTGAAGTTGAAGCCTGGATTGCTTTGGAGACCCAAAACATTGGGGATGCCAGAGTAATGGGATACCTGTCAAGGAAAGCTGCTAGTAGAGAGTGGAACCAGCCCAAGAAAAATAAGTGTTTTGCAGTCAATAAAGCTGAATGGATTTGAAGATCTGAAGAGTGCTTTGACATCAGACATGGAGTTCCAGAATTTGGTGTTGCAAAAGGAGCGGCGGGCTGCATTCCTGCCAGGGTCCCGGCTCCTGCACGGCTAGCTTTAGACCCGGAAATAACAACACACAAATTGTATTCATTTAAACACTGCCTGGCCCGTTAGTTCTAGCCTCTTATTGGCTAATTCTCATGTCTTGATTAACCCATTTCTAATAATCTGTGTAGCACCACGAGGTGGTGGCTTACTGGGAAAGATTCAGCATGTCTGACCTGGTGGCTGGCCCCATTGCGTCTGCCTGCCTCTGCTTTCTTTTTCCCACAATTCTGTTCTGTCTTCCCCACCTACCTATGTTCTGACCTATCAGGCCAAGCAGTTTTATTTATTAATTAACCAATGAAAGCAACAGATAGATTGAAGACCCTCCTACACAAGTTTGGATTTTGGAGCCCAGATGGTTTTCAGTGTGCTTTGATCCAATATTTCCTCACTATGCTCCCTTCTCTATGTTTTAGAGTAGTAATGTATATCCTGCACTGTTATATGTTGGAAGTATGTGATCTATTTTTTGATTTTGATTTTATAGGGTATTACAGTTAAAAGATTGTATAAATCTCAGAAGAGCCTTTGAACTCTGGACTTTTAAGCATTCTTGACACTGTGATAGACTATGGAGACTTTTGAAGTTGGAGTAAATGAATTTTGCATTATGATATTGTTACAAGTTTATGGTAACCTGGGAGTAGAATGTGGTTCTTTGAATGTAATTGATCCCCATAATCTCACAAGGAGTGGCCCTATTAGGAGGTGAGGCCTTGTTGGAATAGGTGTGGCCTTGTTGAAGGAAGTGTGTCACTGTGGGGGTGGGCTTTGAGGTCTTCTATGTTCAAGCCACCACCCGGTGTCACAATCCACTTCCTGTTGCCTTCTGGTCAAGATGTAGCCAGCGCCATGTCTGCCTGCACACTGTCCTGCTCCCTACCACAATGATAATGAACTGAAACTCTGAAACTGTAAGGAGCCACCTCAACTGAATGCTTTTCTTATAATAGTTGTCATTGTCATGGTGTCTCTTCACAGCAATGGAAATCTTCACTGGGACACCTGCCATTGTGGACTCTCTTTATAGAACCATAAGCTAAAATAAGCTGTTTCTTCTATAAGTCTGTTTTGGTCATGGTGTTCTATAATAGCAACACAATGTAACTAATACATGGCTAATATTTATTACTTTGACTATACTGTTTGCTCTGTATAATCATGTAGAGGCATAGCTTGTAATGCCCTGTCTTTTCTGTTCCTCGAGGCCAAAGCACAGGATGCAAGAAATGTTTATGCTAACCAGCTTAGCTTCCCCTGTTCGATTCTGCCAGCCGGAGGGGATGAGTTCAGAACCTTGTTTCTGTCTTTGCTATGGTAATTTCACCTGCTAAGGAGGGTTCTCACAGGTGCCCTAAATCTCCTCCTATCTGTCTGTCAGAGTTCCTAGCTCATTACCCCCTGCCTGAAAGCTCTGCCACTTGGCACCAGGCGCCCAACACCTTGATCTCACTCCTAGCTGGGAGGGCGGCTCTCCACTTCTGGGGCAAAAGTATTTAACCCTGGATTAAGTGTAAATAAACAGGCATTCTCCTCTGGGGGAATGACTTGAACTCTCTGTCTGTGTCGTGTGTGTCTTGTGTTCAACCCCTAAGACATTACAGAGCTCGTGGAAGGTATGGAACTGAGGTCCATACCAGGTGGGTGGTGATGCAGACCCCATGGCATGGAATGGCCGCCACAATAGCTTGCTATTTTTTTGCCTCCAATTTCTAGCAGACATATACCTAAGTTGTGTAGAAGTTCCTTCTGTTTGTGCTTGGCTTTCATTGGTTAATGAATAAAGAAACTGCCTTGGCCTAGTTGATAGGGTGGAACTTAGGTAGGTGGAGAAGACAGAACTGAATTCTGGGAGGAAGAAAGCAGAGTCAGAGAGAGCCACCATGGAGCCGCCAGAGTCAGACATGGTGAATCTTTCCCGGTAAGCCACTGCCACATGGTGATACACAGATTAATAGAAATCAGTTAAATAAAAGATTTGGGTTAGCCAATAAGAAGCTAGAGCTAATGGGCCAAGCAGTAATTTAATTAATACAGTTTCGGTGTGGTTATTTTGGGGCTAAGCAGCCAGGTGGCAGGGACAAGCAAGCAGGCCTCCATGCAACACCTAAACACTAGGGACTACCTTTATATATAGTAGGAGATTGATTTTGTCAAGTTTAAGTACTCTAGTTGGGATGGGAAGTAGATACATTATAGGTAAATAAGATTTCAGGCAATGATATATACTACAGAAAAAACAAAACAGGGTAATATGACAAGAGGTCTCTGAATGCTTAAAGTCCTCCCAAGATAAGGTGGCTAAGGGAAGCCTTTTAGAAGCAATGACAAATGAATCAGAATCTAAATAACGAGAATGCTCTAATCCTCCTGTAAACAGACAGGTGGGGTTATGTGAGGGGTTATGTGAAGCAGAAAACTCTGTTTTAAGTTTGGTAATTCCATGAAAGGAATGAACTTGAAATTCTAGAGAAAATTAGAAAACACCAATATCATTGAAATCAAGAAATGGCAGGGATACAGACAGAAAAAAATTATAAAAAGCCTTACAGTCTATGAGGAGGAGCTTGAAACCATTTGTAAGACTCTGTGTGTTTCTTTGGGACTGAACGACTGTGGGACCAGGCTGGACAGAAACTTCCGCGCTACAGTATATGACTCAATGGTCAGCTTGATGTGTAGAGTACTGTTAGCACCCATGACTACAGCAATAGCCGTTTCAGCAGAGAAGTAGGTTAGTGAGCAGGCCAGACTGAGTGGGAGGGTAAGCAGGAGAACAGAAAGGAAAGCAAGCAAAGGCCGTTGTTTCAAGAGGTTTTCTATTGAAGGAAGGAAAAAATGATGCAGTTTTTGGAAGAAAGTTGAGATTCAACTAACCCACTTAGTTGGATTAGAGATGTCTAGACCAGCTTTGAACATGAAATGGAATGACCTAG